CTCGACTGTGGCATAATAAAAGCTCCGCTGCTTTACCCCACATATGCACGACCGGAAGCAGCGGAAGCGCTCGACTGTGGCATAATAAAAGCTCCGCTGCTTTACCCCACATATGCACGACCGGAAGCAGCGGAAGCGCTCGACTGTGGCATAATAAAAGCTCCGCTGCTTTACCCCACATATGCACGACCGGAAGCAGCGGAAGCGCTCGACTGTGGCATAATAAAAGCTCCGCTGCTTTACCCCACATATGCACGACCGGAAGCAGCGGAAGCGCTCGACTGTGGCATAATAAAAGCTCCGCTGCTTTACCCCACATATGCACGACCGGAAGCAGCGGAAGCGCTCGACTGTGGCATAATAAAAGCTCCGCTGCTTTACCCCACATATGCACGACCGGAAGCAGCGGAAGCGCTCGACTGTGGCATAATAAAAGCTCCGCTGCTTTACCCCACATATGCACGACCGGAAGCAGCGGAAGCGCTCGACTGTGGCATAATAAAAGCTCCGCTGCTTTACCCCACATATGCACGACCGGAAGCAGCGGAAGCGCTCGACTGTGGCATAATAAAAGCTCCGCTGCTTTACCCCACATATGCACGACCGGAAGCAGCGGAAGCGCTCGACTGTGGCATAATAAAAGCTCCGCTGCTTTACCCCACATATGCACGACCGGAAGCAGCGGAAGCGCTCGACTGTGGCATAATAAAAGCTCCGCTGCTTTACCCCACATATGCACGACCGGAAGCAGCGGAAGCGCTCGACTGTGGCATAATAAAAGCTCCGCTGCTTTACCCCACATATGCACGACCGGAAGCAGCGGAAGCGCTCGACTGTGGCATAATAAAAGCTCCGCTGCTTTACCCCACATATGCACGACCGGAAGCAGCGGAAGCGCTCGACTGTGGCATAATAAAAGCTCCGCTGCTTTGGAGCCGTGTGTCGCGCTCGTTCAGCGCCTTATTTCGTTTCGACGGCTTTCAGCCTCACCCTGCTTCATTCTACTATGTTAATAAATCATTAGCTCATTCATGAACATGATTTCTGCCCGAGTCCCATCGGATTGCATCGGCTGTGGGGATGAAGACCACAACTCCCATGATTCCACACTCAGTCATGCCGTCATCAAACTACACCTTTGTCTCTTTGTTTATTTTGAATACGCGCTCTCTATCGGCAAAAAATTACATATTGTGCCTTTAATGGCTTTAACTCTCTAGTGCTGTTCACGTGTTGGTCAAAATTTATTGCAATGAAACTAATATACCATATTTTAGTTCAAAAATCTTTCTTATTTAATATTTTGTATTTTTAGGTGATTTTATGGTACTAAATTATATTTATGGAATAGTTATGATGCATTTATTAACGGTTTTTTAACTTTTTGAGCATAGACCTGAAAACAAAAATTCCAACTTTATCATAAATCTTGAATGCTTTGGAGCACAGACTTAAGTTTGGTCTCTTTTTAAAGGAGACACTTGCCAGATTATTGCTGATGTGAAAAAAGTAAAAATTATTATTATGAAAAATTTTATATAAAATATATATTTTCCAAAATATGCATGAAACACTGCATGAAAATCAAAGACATAAATCTAAACAAGTTGTGTTCCGAATTTGAGGTTGATATCACAAAAAAGTGAGATTTTGTTTGGACGCAGAAATTCACTTCCCATTCATTTCCAATGCGCTCATTTTGACGGCGAAGAGTACAGGTGGTGAGGCCTTTACCAAGTTTTGTACAATTTCGATAAATGAAAAATTCTATAAAACAAAATGCAAAGTTTTTCTGTCAAAAATGACCGAACAGCGCCAGATGGTTAATTTGGGAAAGAACTACAATCCCATGAAGCATTGCAAATGACATTAATCAAAATAAAACGAAAGAGAAATATTAAACTATTCATTGAAAGTTGTTGGTTTTAATCTATAGAAACGATTTATTTTAAGTTCATTGCAAAATATGCACATATAAACAAATAATTTCTCAATTTCACCATTTGGAATGGGCGGAGCTAAAGATTTCTTTTGGCATGCTTTGCTTGCCGCGACTCTCTGATTGGTGGATTTTTCAGTACAGCATCATGAGTAATGCAGTTTATCACCACAAATTAAATTATTAAACACAATTATTTAAAAAATAAGTTGAATTAATGCGAACAGATGGATTCAATAAAAGCACATACAACCTCAAAGCTCACAAAGCAGGTCTGTCTTGAAAGGTTTAGTTTTGGAGGATTCAATTAATTAAGGCTTTTAGAGTAAAAATAAAAGTTCTACCATCATTTACTCGCCTGATGTCATTCAATATCTGTATGTGTTTTACAGAAGGCTTTTTTGGCATAATGTTTGAGCTTTGTGTCATGCACTCTTAAAAATAAAGGTTCTTTATTGGCATCAATGGTTCCACGAAGAACCCTTATAGTGGAAAAAGGTTATTAAAATGTTCTTTACACTAAGAAAACTGTTCACCGAAAGGTCCTTTGGGCCAAAATATGGCATCACTGCAAAAACACCCTTTGGGAAGCTTTATTTTCATGAGTGTACGAGGCTCCACATGACAATAATACCATAAACATAGTCCATTATACCTGTGCACTATATTCTTCTGAAGAAACACAATAGCTCAGTGTGAGGGACAAACTGAAATTTAAGCCGTCATGTTCCTCAAATACTGTAAAGCCAGATTTATGACACCAGGAGACTAAAATGTAGTGCACAAGTTACATAGACTACTTTTATGACGCTTTTCAATTCTAATAAATTATGATTTGCGACTTTACGTTTACAGTATGTGCATGTTATATATATTTTTTAAATTGTGCAGTGTTTAGGGTTAGAGGCTCAAGTATATCAGTTGAATATTTAAAATATGATAAAACATATTGAGGTAAAAGTCACTTGCATATTTTGCATCATTCAAACTTGTGAAACTATCCGATTGCCAAGGCTTTCAGAATCCTCTGAATTGAGATGAGAATGTAAGCACAATTACATTTTTATGGAAGCACGTTACCACCATGATTAAAAAATAAAAAAAATTATAATTGTGACATTTATTTAATCTTGCAGTTTTAAGATTATATCTAGTAATTCTGGCTTTTTTATCAGAATTCTGAATTTACATCTTGCAATTCTGTTTTTTTTTCCTGCAATGGAATAAATAATAAAGTAATTTAGAGACACAAATCTGACTTTTTTTTCGTGCAATTGTGAGTTTATACCTCACAATTTGGCTTTTCTTCTCAGAATTGAGTTTATAGCTTATCTTCTCAGAATTGCGAGATATAAACTCAGAATTGCAAGAAATAAACGTGCAATTATAAGAAAAAAACGTCAGAATTACGACCTTTTTTTCCTCACAATTCTGTCTTTTTTTCTCAGAACTGTGAGATCAAAAGTCTTAATTACCTTTATTATATTGTATCCCGTGAAGGAAATAGGCTTTCGTACATTTTAGTGATGCACGACTACAGCAATGTTTCCTTTACAACACTGCACTGATGCACAAATACAGATGTTTTCATATATAGTCTTACAAAGCATTGCTATTAAGGCGTTGGTTTCTGTAAGGGACTGAATGAAGGAAATGTGATCAAGTGAATTCCCCAACATACCCATCAAAACCTGTTGAGTGACAGACAGACGGCAGGCAGTGGACTAACAGGAGCGTTTGATATGATTTGTCTGGGGATGTTCCTTCTGTCTTTCAGTGTGACACTTAATTCTCTGTCTGTTCCCGTTCCAACCCACTCTGGGAATGACGATGATACCATCACAACTGAGATCCATTCTGCATTTTGCATGTTTTGTTCTTAATTAATACACAAATCAGCACATCTCACTTAAAAGACTTTGACATGTGCATGAATAAATTGGCCCAGATTAATGTCTATTAGTCTGGTGTAAATGCATAAGTGGCTGTGGTGATTAAGGCGTATGAAATGCCATTTTCCTCGTGAACCCTGCTGAGATTAGTTCAACAGTGCTCCTCAAACACACTGCAATTTGTATCTGCCTATTGCATTTTAACCAATAATGCGAGCATGTAGAGCGTGAAATATGCATGGTTCACTCAGAGTTTAGAGCGCCTCAACTCATGCTCATTAACCGAGAGACTAAAGGTATTAAGACAGCAAGGGTAATATTAAAGAAGAGTGTTGTTTATGATCTCTATAGAGAAGAGAAGCAGAAAACCATTGCCCTCGACACGCTGTCTGTCTCCTCAAGTCCCAGAGCTGCAAGAATGCAATGCTTTTAACAAGTTCAAAGAGCACAGACTGCAATAAACTGCTGCAAAGCTGCGGTCAGTCTCAGCGTACCTCAGCTGAACGTTTACGTGCCACAAAAGTGCAAGAATCCGTGCTGAAAACCAAAACATTGGCTGAAAATTAGTATCAAGCATCAAATCTTGTTTACAGTAGATGCATCTAGCAACCTGGGGTAATTAACAGTTTCTTTATTTCCCATAACCTTCGTGCATGAAGATGCTGTTTGTTTGTTTGTTTGTTTGTGTCCGACTTTTGTTTAACTAGTTACTTTTCAACAATGCAATCTGCGTTGAAATGCTTGGGAATTAAAATGTGGCTATTCCTTCACCTTTATGCGCGAATGTAAATCTATTAAACGCAGAACGTTTAATAGATTCATCCCGACGTTCTGCGAATATTCTTTTTAGATGCCTTTTTTTAATAACCGTAACCTAACGTTCCCAGAACGTGCATGGAACCAAAACTGAATGAACATCTAACCGACCTATTCAAATGTTATTTTTCGTGAATAACCGTTCAAGTGCATGTCTTTTCATTCGTAATGAACAAGATGATGATGGTCTGATGAGCCATGGAGTCATTGCAGAGTGACATATGTATCACTTCGCGTGCAATTGCGCGCTATAATAGAAAACGAACGGACGCATAACTTACAAATGATGATTTTTTATCCACTGTTGTGTCACGAAGATAACGTGTGAATGAAGCGCATGCGGACGCGCTTACCGGGGTCACCCTGACTTCTCCGCGGATCCGCAGCTTCGGTCTCCAAAATCAAATGCCGTGATCACAGTCCACGTCTCTGCATATATACCACAGTATCACATAGAGGATGAGCAAAATGGCAAAAATAAACAGAGCTACAAGGATAGCCTTAGTCACTGGTGAGATGAGAGACTGCATTTCAGCAGCCGGCGCACGAGCTCAGCTCAATTCGCAACAGTCCGCCGAGGCGCATGGATGCTCGACCGCCCGCTCGCTCCTCACCATCCGACCAGACCTTCGGCTTTTGACGCTGGGATCTCCCGCACTGACATTTCCCGTCGTTCGTGGTGGAGACGCATCATGAGCGATCCTCTGGAGAAAGCCGGCTGCTCTGGCTCTGCTGTGGAACAGGTTGATTCGCCTTTTTCAACTTCATCAGATGGAATTGTCCATGGAGCCCCGTGTGAAGGGGGGAGACCACGAGATTGACCCTCAATGAAGGAAATTAACAAACAAAAGAACAAAGAGCGCTATGAAGTGTAAAAACTCACATTTGTTTCATTTATGACATAAATACGATTATTATTTTATCTGAGATATTAGTACTATGTGGCCACCGATACAGCTATACTTTCAAGGGTTAATTGTTTCGCAGAATCCAGTTAGCCAAACGTCAACTTTAGACTTTTTTTCTTTAACAAACAATGACTTTCTAAGTAAAACTATAAAGTGTCAAATACTGGCACTTTTTGGTAACGTTCCATCCGATTATGACGCTACTGTTGCCATGGTTACCTGTTCAAGCGATGGCAATTCCCTGTTTGACGCCAGGTAAAATTACGCGACCTGACTGACATGTACTGACTTTCTGAGATATGTTTGTGATTAATAATACTACAAGTGTCAAATAATTGACACGGTTTTGTTAGCGTTTTAGACATACATCGCTCAAGTTGCCTACAGTTGCTATGGTTACCTCCTCAGCAATAGCAATTCCAGTTCGCAAGTGCTTGTTTGACTACAGGTAAAATTATGCATCCTGACTAACTTGTACTGACTTTTTGAGTTACATTTGTGATAAATAACACTATACAATGTCAAATAATGGTAGTGTTTTGTTAACATTTTAGCCGATAAATCACTCAAGTCGTGTACTGTTGCTATGGTTACCTCCTCAGCGATAGCAATTCCAGTTCGCGAGTGCTTGTTTGACGACAGGTAAAATTATGCGTCCTGACTAACTTGTACTGACTGATATATTTGTGATAAATAACACTATACAGTGTTACATAATGGCAGTGTTTTGTTAACATTTTAGCCGATAAATCGCTCAAGTCGCGTACTGTTTAATCCCAGGTAAAATTACTCGCCCTGACTGACTTGTACTGACTTTCTGAGAAACTTTAATGATAAATTAAACTATAAAGTGTCAAATATTGACACTGTTTTGTCGAAGTTACATCCGATGATGACACTTTCGTAAAGTGCTCAAGTAGCGTACAGTTGCTATGGTTACCTTTTCAGCGATAGCAATTTCCGTTTGCAGCCTGTTTGACGACAGGTAAAATTACGCGCCCTGACTGACATGTACTGACTTTCTGAGATATGTTTGTGATAAATAAAACTACAAAGTGTCAATTAATGGCATGATTTTGTAAACATTTTAGCCGATAAATCCTCAAGTCAGTAATGTTGCTATGGTTACCTCCTCAGCATAGCAATTCCAGTTCGCCAGTGCTTGTTTGACGACAGGTAAAATTATGCGTCCTGACTAACTTGTCCTGAATTTTTGAGATACATTTGTGATAAATTAAACTATAAAGTGTCAAATATTGACACTGTTTTGTCAAAGTTACATCCGATGATGACGCTTTCGTAAAGCGCTCAAGTAGCATACAGTTGCTATGGTTACCTCCTCAAGAGATGCAAATTCTGTTCGCAAGCCTCTATATAACGCCATACACACCCCTTGACTTTCTGAGATATGTTAGTTTATGATAAATAAAACTATAAAGAGTCAAATTTTGGCACTGTTGATGATGCTATAGTAAAGCGCTCAAGTCATATACTGTTGCTATGGTTACCTCCTCTGCGCACGAACGAGTATTTGCCGCCAGGTGAAAATACAACGATAAAACAATGATTATTGGACTTTGTCTTAAGATAAATCATACTCCCCTGATAGCACACTTACATCACAGAGACGTCTATATTGCATGTATTTTTTAGAGTGTTTGCTCAACTGAAATACGTCTATAGGACGTTTCCTATCAGATGTCAAATAGACGTTTAGAAGATGCCTTTAAGATGTTTATGATTTAGAATGCATGTCTTACAGACGTCTATCAGATGTTTGTAGACAGCAGATGCTTTCCAGATGAAGCGATCTTTAACAGACATCCCGCAGACGTACGTGTGCTATCTGGGATAAGTCTTTGTACATCAAAATGTCACGTTTACTTATGCATTACTTGCAGTTTCTTAGTAATTAGTTGAGAAATGTACTAGCAATTGTTTCAAAGTAAACCCAAAACCAGTTTGTTTGTTTTTTTTGCTGCAGTGTAGCCTACACTTTTTATGGTTACTTAAAAAAACTCCAACTGTTTGTTTACTAAGCCTCATCCGCGCCGCGCCCTTCTGATAAGTTACCCGTGCAAACAAAGAATTAGCACAGTTTGCGTTCTGAGCGAAGAAACGTGGCTGAAGACAGATATGATATTCAGCTCGCGAACTCGAGCGCAGTTCGTGCTGCTGAAGTTCAACAGTGAAGGTTTCCTGAACGTTAACGAGGGAACTTCCCCAGAGGTGCGAAACGGATGAATGGAGCTGCGTCTCAAAACCCCAGCACTTCAGGCATAGGCGGGTTTCTGGCAAGCTGGTAAGCCCAACACCGCTGTCTAAAAAGAAGCCAGCTCGCTAGGTTTTAAACCAGCTCCGTTCATTGCGTTCCGTCGCTTTGGGGAAGTTCAACGTTTAGGAAACGTCTCGAGACGCATTCGGGGGGCTGGGTGGGTGCTCACGGCAAAATGGTTCTAGGAGGTCAAGAAACCTTGCTATGAATTTCTAAAGTAAAACGAGAATGGATCAATAATAGAAACGCCATGCACTGCGCTATAGCATGCAAACCCGCTTTTGTTTAACCTAGAAGCGTATAAAGTCTGGCGGGGGAGGGATATGCCTCGTGCATCCTCCGTCTGCGTGAGACTTCAGTGAGAAACAAGCGAGACAGACCTGCAATTGGATCCTACACAAGTCAATCCCACATGTGGGTGGGCGGTGGACTCAGAGCTGCACACCCAGTAAAGTTTGTGCAACAAAAGGTTGCGGGAAAGTTGCGCACGAACACGATTCACACTTACACCTGAAATCTGCATGCGCTAAAAGCGCCAAAGCAAGCTGCGTTTAAGACCCGATTGAGCTCAGTTTCATTCAAGCCACAATGAAGTCATACTTGTGGATTTTCGTCCTTGGAAGTTTAATCGTGACTGGAGTGAAGATGCAAGGTAAGGGTTTTCTTAAACTATAGCTTAAAAGATACTAACAAAGTTTCTTTGTTTTCTGCTTCCACACTTGTTTAGTGTTACAAATGCATGAAGTGAAATATACTTTTTAAATTGAAATGATTTAAATATTAATGCATTAATTGTATATAAATGAACAGAGAGAATTCTGAATGAAATGGAAAGCATGCATGTCTTTTTTGTTGGTAGGGTGAGTCTGTATATCAGCTCTAAGATCACATGTTTTGAACAAAAGGACTATATTATTATACATGCATGATTGGCAATTCAAGCATTCTGAGATCTTAAAATAAGACCCTCAGAAACGACTTGTGGAAGCTGTAAAGCCTAGCTCTGCCAGCACAGCTCACTGCATTTCCCTCTTTGTACATTGTGTTCTTGACTAACAGCTTTGGCTGCTCAGAGTCTCAATAATGACCTCATCCAAACGTTTCCCACTTCTTAAACGTTTACAGGATGTAACCAAATGTTCAGGATCGGGAGGAACGGATGTAAAAGGTTTAAGTCTGGCATTAAATATCCCATTCTGATGTCACACGCCTGTTTATTGCTAATATGTAAAATTTCATCCAGATGTAGAGAGCAAACATGCATTTAGTTCACTGTTGTAAACTGAGAAAGACTGAGGTGTAGTCTCAGAAATTCAATCCATGAGTCCCAGATGAAGACCACACCCTATATGGAGAATATGGTGGAGTTATGAAAGGGATGCTTTTGATGCACCCGAGGGAGTTTGCGTGCCTCTGTCCCGTTGTGAGAGACGCAGCGAGGCACATGCATTGCCACAGCTTTGGATTTTTTGTATTTTGTTGGCTGGGATTGTGCAGAGAGACGCTCTTTGTTCTGTGTTTGTGTGGACAGGTGTGTTGCTGTCCTCCTCTCTGCTCTAGAGCAAACCTCCTTTGTGTCTCTTAATCTGACAACTACCAACTGCGCCAACCAAGTCAAATAAAAGGCCGGCTGTGGAAATTAAAAGCTTGAGGGAGAAAAATCGTTAGCATTTGTGCAAATACAAGCAGGATTTCGCCCGAAAGCCGCTGAAACGTGACGACCTTGAAAGAAGGTGTTAATGCATCTGTGTCATTTTACAACACAAAAAGCATACTCGATGCAGGAAGCATTAGATGTCCATCGAGCGAGCAAACAAACGTCACGTACCACTTCATTTGCATTAAAACCGAAGATGCATCTGTTTAAGAAAAATCAAAGATCATTTCAAAATGTATTGCAGAAGTCAAGAGTTTGGATGCATCTTTGACGGTTTTCCACATTTTAGAAAAATAGTAAAAATTCTGATTACTGACCATTACTTACATGTTATTGCTTTATAACCAAAAAATAGCACATATTAAACTCTTTTATTGTCCCATTTCTGATATAAATTAAAAACAAAACACTAACAACTAAAATCAGTATATTAAAATACTAGGTGACTTTCAGGTGAAAAAAATAGACATTATTTAAAATTTTAGAGCTTTATTTGTGTTATTTTAGTATACTGTGATGGTTTTTGTTAATATTTTGAATCACTTTTTATTTTTTATATTTTCCGCTTTCATATTAACTTCAGTTAAAACTGTAGTAATTTTGTTGTGTGATTTTGTCATTTTTATTAGTTTTGTTGTTTTTAAATATGCCTACACGGTTTTAATTTGATTTCGGTTTTAGTTATGTTAATAAAAATTAAAAATGTTCCTTGGAAACATGCTGAAATAAAATGCATTTACATTTTTTATATTTTATAGCAAAGATTTTTATCGTTTTAGTTTTAGTAAACTATAATAACCCTGGTTTTAGATGACATTAAAGATAATGCAAATGTAAAAATAGGGGAAATGAGCATGCACAATTAAATATAACACATATAGTACTGTGCATCTATAATAGTAAAGTCATGAAAACAAACCGAACGTGTGATTAGTTTTCTGAATGAACCAGATATTTGTGCATCCGTTAAATCTCACGTCTTTGGTTGTGTTTTTCAGACGATGGAGTGGAAGGTGCAGAGAATGCCGGTACGTTTGCTGTAATAAAACTGAACTGGTAGCAAACTCTGTGACGTGCCAAAGCAATAAACCTGAGTGATGGAAAGATTTTACAGCGGGGTAAAGTTAGTTTTAGGTTCGATATTCGCCAGACATTCGCCTAGGCTGCTTTAGGGACCGTCTGCAAATTTACCTCTCAGTACAAAACGAAGTCCAGTAATTAATACAATTTATGTTTAAAGTGAAAGTGACGTGACATGTGGCCAAGTATGGTGACCCATACTAGGAATTAGTGCTCTGCATTTAAAACTTGTGATGGCTAGATTTTACGGCTCTCACATCGGGCTTATTTTACAGTTCCTCATAACAGCGATCTCACAGTGTGTTTGTTCAAGTCAACCTGTTCACGTGGTCCAGTACACCACCTGTGTCTTTTTTTTTGTGCTGATGATAAATATGATAAACGCAGGTTGCTAATTTACCTTTTATCTCATATCCAGATTCTCCGGCAGATGACCTCGCGCCAGAGGACTCAACCATTCCTGATGAAGGTGATGATAAGCTTCTTATGTCTGCATGCAATTGAATTTACAGCAGGGGATCTTGATGCTAAATGCAAATAGCAAAAACACAAATCATGCATAATTAGGATAAAAAGTCAACTGAAGAACACTCGTCCTTCATTGTTGACGTCAGAAACTATGAGAGTGTTTTACACAAATGTAGTCAAACTGGACATGCCCTCATGCTCCAAAACCATCAACAACACACTAAACAGAAGTAAATACAACCCAGACGATATTAAATACGGGTTTGGTATTGTCGTTACTCGATATCCAACATAAAATCTGAGTCCTGAAGCAAAAGCAGTTGAGAAGCAGTGATCTAGCTATATTCGTAACTAGCAGCAAGAGATTATTTTCATGGCAGTAATTTGTGGGTGATTGATTTCACAGGAACATCACTGTTGTGTTTAGTTCCTCAACAACCTGTGGATTTGTTTATAGGATTTATGCAAAGCGCTGCTGTGTAGATCTCTTTCTGTATGAGTAGAATCATGAAAAGCTATTCTCGCAACTTTCACTGAAGTTGTATTAAGGTTAGGACGAAACATTCTTAATGTAACGTTTATGGAACGTTCTTATAATTGTATTAATATTTGACATGCATTCTCATATGATGTTATTTGTACTTGACGAACGTTCTCATGATGTTGAGAGAAAACGTTCTTAGAATATTAATAATAAAGGTTCAAGGAACATTTTATTTTGGGTGAAAAAGTTGCAACGTTGTAAGAAACGTTTTAGAGCTTTCTAAAGAAAACTGGACATTTGAACGTTCTTAGAACATTAAATATAAACATTCAAATGACATTTTTGGGGCGAAAATAAAGTTAGTAGTTAATGTTGTAAGAAACGTTTTTGTAATCTTTAAATTTGAAAAATGAAAAAATGTTTCCACAACTTATAAAATAAGTCCCATTGAAATGCAGTTAGAGGAACATCATTTTTAGCATTTGCACACATTTTTAAGTAGAAAAACATAATTAACCTGATCTATTATTTAGATCAAATGAACAGCATAGCACGTTAACGGTAACTTATGTTGCATGTAAATTTAATAAACAAGTGAGATATTATTTATCACTGGAATTAGTGCAGTCATTGCTCACATGGTAAATGTGATCTAAACCACAGAACCGAAACTATTAAATGTCAAATAACAGCAGCTCTAACAGCTCTTTCCCTTCACTAAAAACACATCAAATAACACTTAATTTCAAAATTTACTCTCGTTATCCAGCCCTATGCAAAGCATGTTGGGAACTTAAAATCCACTGCACGGTTTTCAAAGTTATCAAGACAAGTTCATTAAGTTACAACTACTACTTTTTTTGTACTACTACTAAAAAATAAATAAATAAAATAAAATAAAAATCAATAAATGCAAGAAATTTCAGTTTAAATATCACTTTAAATTGCACAACATTAAGTTGATGGAATGATCAACATTATGTCAATAGAACTCATCAAAATGGTGTTTGCAACTTAAATGCATTTTATTAAAGGGGTGGTTGATTGCGATTTCACTTTTTTAACGTTAGTTAGTGTGTAATGTTGCTGTTTGAGCATAAACAATATCTGCAAAGTTACGAAGCTGAAAGTTCAATGCAAACGGAGATACGGTCTTTTAAAATTCTGGCAGTTTAATGCCTACAAAAACGGCTGGTAGGGACTACAACGAGTTACTTCCCGGGTTCGTGACATCACAAACCCAGCATTTTACATAAACCCCCCCTCCGGGAACACGCAGCAAAGGGGCGGGGCCTTGCTGCGCTGCTTTAGAGAAGAGGAAGAGAAAACTACATGTAAAAATCTATTCATATATGAATCACGATTCTGTCTTCTAACGATTCTAATGGATTCACAAGTTTCAAAATGTTCTAAAGCAGCGTTCTCATACTGTTCCTGGCCTCGCCCTGCTCTGCACATGCTCTGCATCTCTCTCTCTCTCTCTCTCGTTCAGATCATCAGCTCAGTGAATACACTTATTTTCACATACTATAGCTATGAGAAGCGTTATACATGGACACGCGTGCGGTTGCCGAACTGTATTAAAGCTTTAATCAGAATAAAACCGTATGTTAAAAGCTAACAGAAGCAGTAGCATTTACAAATAACAGCGTATCTAAAAGTATGAGACAACAACAAAAAACATAGGCCTACCATTAAAAGCCGTGCTTGGACAGGTTCTGCACGATCCTCTTCAATAATGTCCTCTGTGTCTCAATCGAGCTCAAACTGATAAGCGATATTAACGACGCCGCTGTTTACAATACAACCGGAGCACCGCTGAGGAGAGGGCGGGACGTTTAGACGCACACTAGAGAAGGTTTAGCCAATCACAACACACTGGGCCAGCTAACCAATCAGAGCCCATCGTGTATTTCTGAGGGCGGGGCTTCATAAAAGCAGGAAATGATCAGCGCGTTCAGAGGAGAAGGGACAGAGTGGTGTGGAATAAAGGTAAATTATGTGAAAAATAATGCGTTTTCTAACAAACGAAGAATTAACACATGTTAGACTGCACCCCATAAACACAATAAAGCCTAGAAAAAAAACCAGTCAACCACCCCTTTAAAGCATAAGTTTTATAAAACGATGCATTTATTGAAGTTGTGGTAGTAATTCCCCTTTTTTTTTTTTTAGTGCAAGAGAACCTTCAGAATCTCTCAGAAATATAAACTCTTAAAAATAAAGCTTGTTTATTGGCATTGATGGTTCCATTCTTTCCTCTGCATAAAAGGCACTTTATAGTAGAAAAAAGCTCTTTAGATTATTAAAATGTTCTTCATATTAAGAAATAATGGTTCTTTTTTGGAACTGTTCACTGAAAGGTTCTTTGGGGAACCAAAAATTGTATTTTTAAGAGTGTTTGTGATCATGAAACTCTTCTTGAGTTTGTACAGTAGATCATACATGAAATAGGGAAAAGTCTTGTTCCTGCTGCCATCGCCGGTGATGTTGGATCCAGTCTGTTTACCAGATCCCGTCAGAAGATATTCATTTATCTGTTTAACACAGAAATTATTCTGAAAGCCAAAACCTACAAACTGCGTGTTGTCTGGCGTCCAAACTAGTCATTAACTGACTCTTCTATCAGCTGTCAGGCAGACGGAGGCGGAGGAGAAAGTGAGGATGAAAATGAGATCACTGAATAATATTAGTTGTGCATTTCTCCACCAGCATAAATTCAACAGGTGTTTTTATCCCAAAGCAACGGAAAATTACTGCGTCACAACACAGTCCTTGAGAAAGAGATGTCCTCTTATCTCACAGCACACAACATGAGATTAAACAGTAATAGAAAAATTATATTAAAACAACAACACAGGTCAAAATTTTGCAATCATTTAGATTTTTAAATTAAATGCTTTTGCTGCTTATTTATTTTTATTTATTTTTTTGGAAACTGTGATGCACTACCATTCATAACTTTGGAATAAGAAAGATTTTCTATTCATCTGTGAATCCTGAAAAATAAAATGTATGACAGTTTCCACAAAAAAATATTGGGCGGCACAACTCTTTTCAACATTGATAATAATCAGAAATGTTTCATATTAGAATGATTTCTGAAGGATCATGTGACACTGAAGACTGGAGAAATGATGCTGAAAATACAGCTGCGCATCACAGAAATACATTACAGCTTAACAGAGATTCTCATAGAAAACAGCTGTTTTACATTAGAATAATATTTCACATTTTTACTGTATTTTCGATCAAATAAATGCAGCCTTGCTGAGCAGAAGAGACTTCAAAATGTTCCATAGCAATTGCATCGTAGGACCGAATGAGGTTTTTAAGACGTGTGCCCATATCATTATGATTCCCCACCATTTCTAACCGTTGGCAGTGATTTTTGGCGTTCTACGAATGTAAAGCATTGAGCAGGTTTTGTGAGTCTGAGCTTTAGGAATGCAATGTTCTCAACTTCATCTTTGTTCAGAGCATGAAAGTGAACTTTTTGTCAAAACTGGCTTTTAAAGGCACCGATTCAGAGTTTTTTGTAGGATTTAGTAACAAGTGTCTGTGCCTTCCATTGCCATTCCTTTCTATTGCAGTGATGAGTAATGAGTCTGTTAGACTCTGAAACACATTGGAGAGAGTTGGCCGTCAGACCTGTAACAGACCGCAGATCAACACGACTCCATTAAACACCTGCATTTTAGTTATATTCACTGAGATATTTAGATATCAGATATATTTCCTCCAAGTTTAAAGGAATAGTTCACCTATCAAATTTTGCCATCAATTTTTTACTCTCCCTCATGTCTTTCCAAACCCATATGATTGATTTTCTTCCCTGAAACAAAAAATGAGATGCATGCATGAAGCTTCTGTCTTTGCACACAGCGAAAGTGGATAAAAAAGCTAAAAAAGCATACATTACATGCCATCTGAGATAATATGAAGGGAAACACTGTTAACCTGCATTTGGGATTTGAGAGGAAGATAGAATAGCAACTTAAATTTAATCAGTTCTTCACATGAAGCATCATACAACTTCATTAGACTTGGAATATAGTGCTTGTTTGGATCATGAAAGTACAGAAAACAACATGAGTAAATGACCAATGTTTTAAACTATTCTATAGTTTTTACAGTGATTTTGCTGTGAGTAAGTGCTGTTTTTATCCAGGTTAACTAAAACGAACACTATTAAAAATCATTTTTAGTTGAAATGAAGCTGAAATCAAATATTAGATGTAAAACTTAAACTAAATGAAAATCCAAAATTTTGTCTTGGCAACTAACTGAAATAAGTTTCAGTTGAAAAACTAAAGTTACTAACTGGAAAACTAAAATAAATAAAACTAAAAGTAAAAACTCGAATAAAAACTAAAAGTAAAAAAAAAAAAAAAAAATGCTTCTAAAATATTGAAATCTAGTCTAGTCTAGTTTCCTTGTTGCGGTGATTAGAACGTTATTTAAAGGTTACAAAAACGCTTCTTAAACGTTGTACTGATTTAAATTTTACTCAAAATGTAACATTATTTGAATGCTTATTTTTAAAATTCTAAAAACGACCACATCATCTAAACGTTGTATAATTTTATTTTTTACTTAACATTTAACATTATTTGAACATTTATTTTTGTTATTTTATAAACGTTAAAATGTTCACTTTTTTGTTATGATTATAACATTATTTAAAGGCTACAAAAATGCTTCTTAAAACGATCTGCTAACTTTAATTTCACAAAACAAAAAATCGAGTGTTATTTGAACGTTTATTTGTAAAATTCTAAAAATGATTAAATGTTTCCTAAACATTGCATTAATTTTAATTTTATTTTTTACTTAACATTTAATGTCCAGTTTTTTGTTGTGACTATAATGTTATTTAAAGGTTACAAAAACGTTGTGCTAATTTTATTTTCACCCCAGAGAAATGTATAACGTAATTTGAATATTCTAAGAATGTTAAAATCTCCAGTTTTCTTGTCGTGATTGTAACGCTATTTAAAGGTTACAAAAACATTTCCTAGATGTTCATCAAGTACAAATAACATCATAAGGACGTTTTGAGAATTTCTCAACGTTATCAAATATTCGTAAAGTTCCATAAACATTACTTTGAGAACGTTTTGTCCTAACATTGATATAACGTTTAAAAAACGTTTCCTTTTAGCTGTGATGTCATCTGAGATCGCATGATGGGAAACAACCCTGCATTTGTGATTTGAGAGGAAGATTATCAGTGAATAAACGCTTAAATTTCGTCTTGACTTCTTGTATGTATTGTCATGTTAAGGCAGAGTCATTCAATCCTGGTAATGAACAGCTCTTGTAAAGCCGATATGAGGGTCTGGAACAGGTCTGTTCTTGATAAACTCCCTCACTGGATGTTTGATGTTACGGTAGAAATGCAGAACTGTCGCGACATGTAACATATAGATCTTATATATGCTGAAAACACCGCCGCGGGAGATTTACTGCAGCGAGGCGATGGAGACTGTGAGTGTGATTTATGGTCACCTGTGCGCTTGAGGAGAGCTTGAGTTACGCTTCAGGCACAAACGAGAGTCAGGATCTGACAGCCGCTGATGCTCCTGATGCTGACAGGAACAAATCTGTGGGATGGTGTCACCTGTCTGATTGTGAGATCTCTGTTGCAGCTGCAGACGCTGAAGAACCAGCTGAAGAACCAGCACCTGAAGATCCAGCGGAGGAGGCCGTGGATGAGGCAGCAGCTCCTGCAGGTTAAACAAACACAGACATTAACATTAAAGCACTTTACAGTGATTTTACCATGAGTGAGAGACGTTCTTAGCAGCACTGTAAAAAATGACCATGAATTTAACGGTAAAAGACTGTAAAAATGCTACAGTAAAAACCTGTTAAATGGTTAATGGTAAATTCCCCAACTATATACGGTGAAAAACTGTATTGGACATTACATGTATTGGACATTAATTTTACGGTAGTAT